AGAACAAAGATGGTGATGACAGTGACGGTGGTGAGAGTAGCAACAGGGTTAGTGAACATTTGTCAAGCAATTACTAGGTGTCAAGCAGATTTATACCCATTACCTATTTTAATAGTCAAAACAACCATTATCATTATCCCCACTCTTGTAAGACTTAGCAAGGTTGAATAATCTGTTCCCAGTCCCAGGATTCAAACCCAGATATGAGGACTACAGTGTTCCACCCCCTTATGCTACAATATTCAAAACTGAATGAGTTAAACTCAAATTGTGCTACTGAAACACAGCTTTAAAAAAATGTTTTTATTGGTTTTTATAGAAAGAGAAAAGGAGAGGGAGAGATAGAAACATCAATGAGAGGGAAACATCAACATTGATTGGCTGCCTCCTGCATGACCCCCACTGGGGATGGAGCCCATACCCAGGCATGTGCCTTGACCAGGAATCAAACCAGAGACCTCCTAGTGCAGTGATGGCGAACCTATGACACGCGTGTCAGAGGTGACACGCGAACTCATTTTTTTGGTTGATTTTTCTTTGTTAAATGGCATTTAAATATATAAAATAAATATCAAAAATATAAGTCTTTGTTTTACTATGGTTGCAAATATCAAAAAATTTCTATATGTGACACGGCACCAGAGTTAAGTTAGGGTTTTTCAAAATGCTGACACGCCGAGCTCAAAAGGTTCGCCATCACTGTCCTAGTGCATAGGTTGATGCTCAAACATTAAGCCACACATGCCGGGCACCATAGCTTTTTTGAAACAACAGCAACATTAAAATCCCCAATAATGAATCTGAAGTCTATGTCTAATTTCTTACTAAGTTCAACCAATACAAACTCAGATCTACTAAAATAGACTCTAAATGAAACTTGTACCTGATACATAAAATCAAGTCCATGCAGTGTACATAAGAAGTGTAGGAGAAAAGCAGATAGAAGTTTCAAGAGAAATTCAGCATCCCTAAATTGGACCAGTAGGTGATTTTCAAAAAATAAACACACACACACCCTAGCATCAACCTTTTCCCAACACCCCTAGGCCTAAATCACTGCTTTGATCAAAACAATACAAAGTTAAGTCATGATTTTCAGGTAAAGAACAGATGCTTGGCAAATGTCACAGAATAGCAAGACAAGAGTCCTTTCTTTTACAGTGCAATTTAATATGCCTTATATATTCTCCCTAATTCCCAAACAGGGTGGCTTGGGATATAAATGTATCTCTTATAGTTCCCTGTTCACAAAAGTAATGTGCAGATCTACATTAGAGAGATAGAACTCCAACTCCATTTTCTAATTCTGAGAGAATTAGTGGCAGCTTCTCCAGTAGTCAAGAGAGGCTATTTCACCCTCTCCAAGTTTAGGTTAAAATGTATCATTTAAATGAATAACTGAAATATTTCATATGAAGTGGCTAGGCTGCTTTTATTTGACCAGAAATCTCCCAACTTTCGAAGAGCATCTCACCCATACTACCTTAGAAGTCAGTGTAGCTGGATGGCTATTAGCATGGATACTGAAGCTATATGATCTAGGTTTGAATTTTGACTCTGCCTAGCTGTGTAGTCTTGGGCAAGTTAACTAACTACTCTGCGCCTTCCTATAAAATAAGCATAATAATCGTATCTACTTCCAGTATTGTTGAGAGTATTAAATGTGTTGATGAATATAAAGAGCTTAATGCAGCACCTGACACAGAACAACTCTGCAATGATAATTACCCAGCATTACTATTCTCATTAGAAGTGGAAGTAACCACCTGCACAGCCATTCTCCACATGACCCTTGCGGAAAGGTTTATAACAGTGGAAGTGGAACGTCCCAACCAGCCTTTAGCCCTGTGATGAATTTCCCAGATCCCCCAGCCCTGGCAGAGTGTACTCATCCTGTGAAATATTAAGTTCGCTTCTGCTTTTAGTAGAAATATTACAAAATTACAGTATAATTTGTGAGGAGTCAAATAGGGACCTGAGCATTGTCTTGTTGCTATCCATTAACGACAACAAAAATTGCTAAGAAACTAATACTGAAAACAAGCTTGGGGGATGAATAGACCACTTAAGAGAACATACAATTCTAGTATCCACTAGATCCATAAAAACATTGGATGCCATATTATAAAACTGAGGTAGAGTTTTACTTGAAAAAACCCACACAACTCCTACTTCATGACTTTTCTTAGTAGAGCATCCAAATTACTCTACTAATTTTGACTCTGCCTAGCTGTGTAGTCTTGGACAAGTTAACTACTCTGCGCCTTCCTATAAAATAAGCATAATAATCGTATGCTTATGGTTGAAAGTTGCACAATTAAATACCTTTTTATAATTCTGAATTACCATTAAACTGATAGATCCTCTCCCCTTCATCAGTGTTTTCCACTTCAATGGCCACCCCCTTCAGGCCTTTGGTGAATTCCTCCATCTGACCTGACCCTGATCTCATCTCCTCAGCTCCACAAGCTTCTTCCTCCAGCTCATCCTGCACAGCACTGGCAGCCTCGTCTTCCTAGCTGCACACCTGCAATGCAGCTGCTCTGTCCACAAGTCCTTTCTTCACCTACGGCCCCCATCCCTCACACACACATGTGATTCTGGGAGTAAATCTTAATTCTTGAGCCTAGTACTAAGTTTCATGATGTACCTTTCCAAGCTCATTGTCCACCACTTCCCTGCAAGAACACTAGCTAGACTTTAGCCAGATGCAAAAACTACACACTGGGCTTTCCTACTCCTTTACTCATAGCATCTCCTAACCCTGGAATGACTATCACATCCCCACTGACTGAAATCCTACCCATCCTTCATGCCAGCAGATCAAACATCACCTCCTCTTATCAAGCCATGGATTACTCATTTCAGAGGAGGACTATGTTCTTTCTCCATGTATCTCATGTCTGCTCCTATACACACTATCCCACGCCTTAGAAAGAATAGCACGTTGTGGGATGCACCTGAAGGGCAAGTATTGTGGCATTCACAGAAGGGCCTACTGTGGCTTCTCAAACAGAACACTTGCTCAAAAACTATTTACTGACTTCAACCAGTAAGACTGTACTCTGCTTCAGGCCAGTCTCTGGAGACCAGTGACTCTGGGCAGAGACTAATTCATTCGACTCCTAAAGAAGAGGAGTGCAGATTTCCACTGAGAAACAACATAACCCATGATAAGGAACTCTCCTGGAATTAGTATCACTTAATAAGGATTAACCAACTCATGATTTTGCTGAAATGTGTTTACCTTTTAACTGATGGAGCATCAATGGGAAAGTGAAAAAGACAAGATATAAGTTTCTCAAAATATTATCTATTTGATTCTTACATACAGTCAACAGTCAAAGCTTTTAAGGAGATGGCACTTTTCAGTATAAAGGAAAAACTTCTCTTCTAATTATCATATGTAATTTTTTTAAGGAGTTGTCAGAGATGAATCTCTGCCCTAATTTTAAATATGACTGAAAAGGAGACTACATAACTATATGGAAAGTAAGGAATCAGTTGTAAAATAGAAAAATAAAAGTCTCCTGTTGTACTTAAGTACCACTGACACTGCTGCACTAAGAATGTGTCTATCAGGAATGGCATAGGAAGATAAATCAATTTATAGATTAACAACACATCAATTATTTCATGACGAAATGTCAAACACAAACACTACCTGAATGGTTTATAAGTCTATCACATCACATCATACCATATTTGACATACATCTAATGTCAGAGAAATCATTTATCATTAAAGGCCTTTTTATATAGGTCAGGGTTACTGGAGCTTGGTGTTTTGTATCTTATAGTTTAAAGAATGTGCCAAATTCTAGGTTTTTTAACTTTTTAATCTTTGGGAAGGAAAACGAAAACTTCCTATAAACTCAGATTAATGCCTGCTAATGCACAGAAATAAAAAGAAAAACTAAAACCTTCCTCCTACTATAAAAACAAAATAGTGTGGCCTCTGTTTCTTTTCTGATAAGAGTCTTAAATACCAAACAGTTAACTGCATAATAACATTTACTGGCAGCCAGGCAGCCTGCTTAGCAGATATATAAAGCAGGTAAAAGAAGAAAAAGTTAATTTCTTGGCTGAATGATTCCATCGGTAGCTATAGGGCAAACCTGAAAGTCTTTTAGTAAAGTAGCAGTTGATTCTTCTATCAATCTGTAGCACACATACTCTTCCAAGGAAAGCATTAAATATGAAAATCATATCCCGTTATCATCTGTTTCCAGCTTTCAGCCCAGTAAGCTTTTCTTAATGAATGCTGCAGCCTAAGGAACAAGCATGCTGTTGGCTTTTCTGAATAATGGAGTGATGCTACCATTTTTGCTTATTACAATATCGACTGGCTGAGGGGGTTTCACACATAGTCACAAGTGACTACTCTTGCCAGCATGCTCCAAGTTATTACAAGATGTTTTTAGACATTTCATCTAAAAGAGCTTTACTGCTTTTAGTGAAGAAAACATCTATGGTCTTGAACAGAATCATTTATATGGAGATAGGCAGGAGGATTAGAAGCCTGCATTATGGCAGATACATAGCAGAATTTATTTAAGTATTCCTTTCCAGTCTTTTTGTCTGTTGCTTAGAAATGCAATCCTTTCTTTCCACTTTATCTGTGAAAGGTTAAAATGTACAAAATTATAGATACAAAAAAAGAAGCAAATGTCACATTTTGTTTACTTTTTCATTTAAAATGTTTCTGGAACTAAGAAAAAAGCAGCTATAAAACATTATCTAGAAAAACACAATTTCACTTCCTAACAACACTGAGGTTTTCTTTGGAATCTGTTTTATACCCACCATGCCTATCTTTCAGCAAATTTAATTGAATTAGACATTAAAGCAATACTCTATAAGCAAAAGTCTTCAAATAATCACTTAAGGTTTACTCAAAAATATCTTTGTAATAAGATGATTTTTTAAAAACAAAATCTTAAAAGATGAATACTCCAAAAATGCTCAGTTAACAGAAACTTTAACATTTTAATTTGTTACCTTTTCTCTGTCTTCATTTTTCAGTTCACCTTTTATTCCCAGGCTATCTTTTGAAAGTAGCTGCATCTTCTTAAATTGAGCCTCATATTCAATCTAAATATAAACAAAGTTTGATTTTTTTTGTGTGGATATTATTACAACTAGCACCTTTCTCTATTTTTCAGTCTTTACAGAATAGAAGGAACAGTGAAGTAGAAAGTAAAACTGATACTGCTAAGAAAGTCAACTTATCTTAGAAGACAAACAATTTCACAAATAGCACATAAAAAAGCTGAATTCTAGTGTTATATGTTTTTAAATAAAATAAAAATCGATGGATTTTTACTTAGTCTTTCATCAATTTAGGGAATAAGACCTTGATATACTAACCTATCATGAAAATCCATTTACTTTATTATGAAAGTAACATCAGACAGTGTTTTCTCTGAATAGTTTTGTCCTGAACAAAGGAAACGAAATCAATCTTACTTATCTGTATATCTACATATCATGGTCCGTCCTACTAGTAACAGCAACAGAGTAAATTAGTTGCTAGATTATCAACTTAATACTAAATCTGTTTTCTATGAATAAAAATACACTGTAGACATCAATGATCGGCACCATAGGAATCAAGTTTGCTCTGGCACTAATAACTGCATAAAGACGACTGCATCATTATCACACTATAATTAATGAAAGTGATTCCATCATAAAATGACTTTTTCTTAGTCATTAAAGTCTAAAAAAGTCACTGAACATGGTCCATCACAGGTGTCAGAACATTTTCTAAATTATGCAGTGATGCACTGCAATTACAAACACACCTCTGAACATAAAGTAGACCTGGGCTTTGCTTTGACACACCAAAAATCAACAGATAATAATAACCAAAGTTGACTTGTTTCCCTCAGAATATCTTAAAAGGTATTATATACTGCCCCATTTTTAATAACAGTTCAGGAAGAATTGTGGTTTTCTCTATCAGAATGTTATTAACATGATACATGGCAGTAATTATCTAAATAGATACCGAAGTAAATAAAAGTCTCATAAGGCCAGAACAAACAATAAAATGAACAATTAAGAAAGTACATTTTATATCTCTCTGTTCTATATCTACTCCTTTGAACACAGAGATATTTAATTTTTAACCCATGAACCTTCAACAAGCAAAGTATCCAGATTCCAAGGCAAAGTATCTTTAAAAAGGAACGACAACTGTCAGAGGGGAGGGGAGTGGGGGAACTGGATGAAAGAAGGTGAAGGGATTAGCAAAAAAATATATATATAATATATATATACACACACATACACACACACATATACACATAACCCATAGACACAACAACAGTGTGGTGATAGCCAGAGGGAAAAAAGTGGATGGGGGCTAGGTGGAGGTGGGCAAAGGTGGGGAAAATGGGGATGCAAAGAGACTTTACTTGGGGCAATGGGTGTACAATGCAATGTGCAGATGATGTTTTATTGAGCTGTACACTTGGTTTTGTATATGGTTTTGTGAACCAACGTCACCCCAATAAATTCCATTAAAATAAATAAATAAATAAATAAATGCAAATAAAAAATTTAAAAGGGGGGATGTGGGGTGGATTACAAAGTAAACAGATTTATTAAGTAATCAGAGGTTAAGCAAAAATTCTTTGTTCCGGTGACTACAATGTTTTCTTCTGCTCTTTGAGATCAGTCACCAACATGCACTGGGCATTGCACCTGATTTCCTCATTATGGGATCATTTTAGAGCCATATCTTCCAAAGACAGAGCATGTTCGCTCGGGAACATAAGAGTATTATTCAATTCATTTTGCTGGTGCAAAAAAGTGAAAATCGCATTAGGGCTTCATAAGGAAAGTATCTTAAAGAGTCCAACTTAGATTGTTCTCAATGAGTCTGAAAAATTTACTGATCTATAGGTACTTTCCTAAACTAATGACTCAAATAAATACTGTACAATATATTTGAAAAAAGTATTACTATGACAAACTGGTCATTGATACAAACTGGAACTCTGCACCACCTATGACCATGGATTTCCACCTAAAATTGCTCTATTCTCTTTCTTTGCCTTGTATTTATATATATGATACTTATTTATTATCCATACAATCTACCGGCTGAACACTGGAGAGCAGGGTTTTTCAAACATGCTCTGCAGGGGCAATAAGTCCCCCTAGTTCTACTTTAAACAAAGGGTTTTACTATGTTTAAAAGTTGTGCTTTTTTTTTTTAAGTTTGGAAAACACTGTATAGGTGAATCTTTCCAAGACTTTCCCAGCTAAAAAAATGTCTAATAAAATAGAAGAGCATATGTCTCTGCATGCATCTGTTTCTCCAACTATCAGTCTTTCATGTTTTATTACCAATTTCTCCTCTGATCAGATCTCATATGTTTCTCCTATTTCCACAATACATCAGGGCTTAACTGCATCCTTTCTCTCTGGCGCAGACTCCCAACCCTGTTCTCTTCTTGCCACGTGGCCTAGATTCCTCATAGTCAGATCTGCTGCTTCAGGGGCCCAACTACCCATGACCCAGGAGCATCTGCTGGTCCAGAGCTTCTCTAAGGATAATCCCCATGTCCCCTAACTCCCCTGGGAGAAATCTATTTTAATAAACCCAAGAGCATTGAATTAACCCATCAGGTAACTGTTCTGTTATTGTATTGCTTCACAGCACTGGGCTTGGTGCTGCCCACCTAAATTTAGGAGGACCTTTCTATTCACGTTCTTACTCTGCACTTCTGTTCAATTAATGAAACCTGTTGATGATGCTCTTTGGTCATGGGAAGAGAAGAAGGTTCTGGCAGATCTTTCAGGTCTCTGGGATATCTTTTTATTCTTACAACACATCCCTTTTCCATTGTTTCCTTCTTCTGTATTTTCACTCACATTCCTTCAATATTTCCTCATCATATTACTACTTGTATGAAAGTGCTACCACCATTACCTTTTTTTTTCATAGTTTTTTTTCCATTGGTCTTTGGAATTGTACAGTAATTCTCAGTTACAAAACTGAATAGACATTTAAGATCAGCTTGGCCTGACCTCCTCATATTAGACTTGAAGAATGGGTACAGAGAGTTACATAAACTGTCTGACTTGACTCACGTGAATATGAAAAAGTGGAACTAAGATTCATTATCTTTTGTTTTTCTCCTATTTGTTTCCAGGCTTCCTCTTAGATGCTAAACCAAAAGATATGGAGGAACATTTATTTATTCAATTAGTTCATATTAATGGGCAAGACACTTTGGCAGATAAAAAATGGGCTTTCCTACAGACTTTGTCCTTCAGGAAGCTGAAAGTCATGCTCTGCCTAGAGGGCTGTCACAATGCTTAGCAGTAATTGAATGAGAGCTCAAATTTTCCTCAAATTTTATCTTAAATATCTATTCAATATTATAACTGAGAATTACTATACAGTTCCAAAGACCAGTGAAAAAAATACCACAATAGTTCTTACGTAGTTGTTCATGGTCCATAAGAGAACACGGATAAATAGAAGAATTAATTTTCAATCAAGTAGGTAGTCCCAATGCTTATCGAGTGCTTATTATGTGGCACACTCTGGGTCAGATACTGAGTACTAAAATGATGACATGGAGCTCATAGTGAGCTGAAAGAACAGATGCATGATAAATTATAATACCATGAAGGTAGTGCTTACTGAGATAATTATGACACAGACCTAATACAAGATAGAGGGAGAGAGGCCTTCTAGTTGAAGGATGTAGGAGATAATGTGGTACTTTCAAGGAAATGCAGATTGTTCAGCATCTTTAAAATTCTATGGTGTGTATAAGTGAATGAGTGTGTGTAAAAGAATGTGTGCACACATGTGTGGGAGATAAAAATAGAGAGAAACAGTGGGAAGACATTGGGGGTAATAGATATAGAGGGAAAGAGATGGGGAATATGGAGAAAACAGGAATGGGAGATGGGTGGGCATTGGGAAGAGAGGGAGACAGAAATAGGGGAGAGGGCAGAGATAGGAGAAAAAGATGGGGATGGAGAGAGGGTAGAGGGGGACAGGTTGGGGACAGAAATGTGCATATGTCTGCATTTGTGTGTGAGAGAGACATACACACAGAATATGTGTGTGTCGGGAGACTGAAGCAGGCAGAGACCAGCCTCTGGTCTTTGTCTTGAAAAGGCTGAGCACTCAAGGATTTTAGGCAGAGGAGAGACAACCAGGTGATGACCTCCATGCTTGGGGACCTTCCCTGAGTGCCCTGATATGTCTGCCCATGGCTGGCACTGGAATGTGGAAGGCTAAAGCAGATGCTGGCAATGCTCCATGCAGGTCCCTGGGACCTTTCTGGGAGCTCCAAAGTCCCAGAATCCTTCTCTCTTGCCCAAGTTTCCTCAGAACCTGGGGAGGCTGCTCTGCCCACAGGAGCACATGGTTGATTCTCCATTACCTGAACTCCTCCCCCATCAGTCCTCAATCAATGACACTTGGAAGCCAATGTATGCATATCCCAAATGCTTTGAACCATTTGCCAGTTTCCCTGAGGTATTAAGTTCCAGGTGCCAACTGCAGTGGTTGGCTTAATAATGTGCCCTGTTCCAGTTACCTGCGCTGCCCTGACTCACTTCCCTACATGCTACTGACATTCCTTGCACTTCCCAAAGTTTCCACTTACATTTAAAGCCCTGTCTCAGGGTAAACATTGGGGCAGACCCAATCTCGGGCAATGGCAAGGGGCACCCAAGGAAACTGCTCTAAGGACCAACTTGGGTCCTTCTATAAAAGTTGCCACTGTGGGAAAAAGGGGGACAGAAAGGGAGAAAAGGACACAGTCTTCACAGCATTACTAATACTACTATTTACATTCTGGAACTGAGTTTATTTAGCCTCTTTATCCATCTGACAAGTGGCAGTATAGTCACAGCACTTGATTTTCAAAACTACATGAAAGACTTAAATAGCCCTGAAAATTATTACTGGCCCCCAAAATAAAGTAGCATAATTCATAAAATCAGCTCAAAGGTTTTTTCTTTAAGCTTTTAGTCCATTTAAAAAATTTATCATTATATAATAAAGTGGGCTCAGCCTTACAAAGAGGGAGCAATTCACTTTAAATAATCTGGGCAAAATCCCCACTTCTCCCACACTGCTTCATTTTGTTTCACTTTCAGAAATTCTACCAGTTAATTAAAAGTTCATGTACATGAATTATATTCAAGGGGAAATACCCTTTCAGTGGCATGTTGAGGTATGTGGGCAATACACTATAAACGTGCTAATCAGAACAACTTCCTACTGAAACTTATACGAGGTCAGTCAGCAAAGGTGATAAAGATCTGATACCTGTGTGGGCAGGATTAAGAGGAGACAAGTTCTAGCATACCTAAGGCCTCTACTCAACAGTGGCACAAAAGGAAGAGCCAGAAAGAAATGAGAAGATGCCAAAGACAAACATCCTCTACCCTAAAACTCTGCCTACAGATTGCTAAGCTAAGTGGTATCACTGCCTGGTTTCATGAGTACACACACTGGTAAAGCATGTGGACTTGGTAGACTGCCAAAATACAGTTCTCCATGGAACTCAACATCTCTCCTAACTGTAGCTACACGATCTGCTCTTTTATGCTATCAGCAGATTTTCTTTTTTTAAAAAAAGGCATGGCCCTAACCGGTTTGGCTCAGTGGATAGAGTGTCGGCTTGCAGACTGAAGGGTCCCAGGTTCGATTCTGATCAAGGGCATGTACCTTGGTTGCCCGCACATCCCCAGTAGGGGGCGTGCAGGAGGTAGCTGATCGATGTTTCTCCCTTCCTCTCTGTAAAAAATCAGTAAAATATATTTTAAAAAGACATGCCTTATCTAAAATTCAAGAAGTAAAATCTATATATTCATTGTTTATGAATAAAGCTTTACATATTTCTATAAATACAATGTATCATTCTTTCTTTAAGATGGTCCCTTTTACTGTTATTCTTTAGTAGTGCATTATATACATGTTTTTTTACATATCCTATTTTATACAACGGATGCTCTCAATATAAAAATATTGATAATATTGATAAGGATAATTCTTCCCTTCAAATTTCTCCTTCTCACATTCGGTTATAACAAGAAATCAATAGTTATAGAAGTATAAGATAAAATTAGAAAATCACCATTGCAAAACCTCCCTTATGACTGATTCAGGCATCATTAATAGATCTTAAAATCACTAAGTTAAAAGGCTGTTGAGGAATAAGATATTCCCATGATGTCAAACCGTCACCCCATAGATTTATTTACTAATTTACAGAGGAAAGAAGTACCTTACAATAGAGAGAGCTAGAGATTGGCATCTTAACCAAGGCATCAATGTTAGCCTCACTCAGGTAGTTCTACCTGATATCATAGATGATTAGCCTCCTGATGGGATGCAGAAGAATATAACCTCAGCTGTGGCTGATTAATTAAAAATTCAGTCCTGGGCGTCACATCTTAAGTACTATTCAATGGCCAGGTATGGCTAGTGGCTACTGTATTGGACAGCATCATTATATAGAGAACATTTCTATCACTACAGAAAGTTCTAGTAGGCAGTGCTGGTCTAGACTGAATTTCTAGTTTACAGGAAATATGGGAGATGCTATACAAGTTTATTTATTTCATGAAAAGGTAGGTTTTTTGGAAAAGACAATAATGCTGGAAAACATAGAAGGCAGCAAGAAAAGAGAAAGACCAGATATGAGATGGATTAACTCCTTAAAGGAAACCACAGACAGGAGTCTATAGGAGCTAAGAAGGGCTTTTGAGGACAGGACACTGTGGACATCACTCACTCATAATGTGGGGTTGGAGTCACTCAACGGCATGTAATACACACATACTAGCTAAATGATACCTCAAAGAAATAACCAGTTAAATTCAGAATGTGAGTCATTCTACAAGCCTACCCTTCTTCAAAAGCCAGTGTTATGGAAAAAAACACACAAAAACACAATAACCAATGTAATGTGTGAACCATGGTTGGCTCCTGGTCTGGAACTGGGGAAATTTAAATATTGACTGGATATTAAGTGATATTATGAAATCATTAATTTTCTTGATGTGATAATAAATGGTATTATGATTATGTAGGAGAATGTCCATTAGGGGAGAAATGTCATTGTGTCTGCTGCTTAGTTTCAAAAATACACACACACACACACACACACACACACACACACACACAAAGCAAGTATGGCAAAATATTTAAAAGTACTGCATCTAGGTAGAGAGCATAGAAGCTGTTTTAGTCCATTCAGGCTGCTATAACAAAACACACCTGACTGGTGGATTACACACAACAGAAATGTTGCTCACAGTTCTGGAGGCTGAGAAGTCCAAGATCAAGGCACTAGCATGGACACCTTCTGCTGAGGGCCCTCTTCCTGGTTGCCAGCCAGCGCCTTCTCACTGTGTCCTCACAAGGTGGAAGGGGCTGGGAGCTCTCTGAAGCCTCTTTTAGAAGGCATTAATCCCATTTATAAGAGTTCCTCTCTTATGACTTAAAGCACCTCTCAAAGGCCTCACCTACCATACCATCACTTTGGGGGATTCGGATTTCAACAAATGAATTTGGGAGGAATACATTCAGACTATAGCATGAATGTTTATTAGGACAATTCTTTTAATTTTTTGTATGTACTTGAAATTTTTACAATAAAAGGTTGGGGAGAAAAGTGCTAGAGGAAACAAAAGAAAGGGAAGTACTGAAGCCACTTTTCCTATAACCAGTATTCAGTGTGTTAACTTGGGCAACAACTCCTGAGCAACCCAAATGGTGAGAAAAAAGGCCTTGCCCTTCACACTTGGCATAATTTGTTGAGCAGAAAGTTGCCAAGCACCTTAAGGGAATGGGACACCAGAATCAGAAAGGGCTGCTAAGAGCAGTTGCTCTGGGGCACACAACGAGGAGCATGAAGGCAAATTCCTCAGGGCCAGTTCTATCCCCTCAGTCTTCCCTCAACACACTGCCTGACCAGAACAGAGGGCCATAGAAAAAAAAAACATTCAGAGGGAACTCTATTGCTGCTCAAATTTAACCATGAGTCCAACAAATACCATGTGCCAGGTAGTGGCTAGTGATGTATGTGCCTGTTTTAAGTTAATCCATATAGCACAACAGAGTATAGATATTCCATTAATTCCTTAACTAAAGTAGGAATCTGAAAAGATGCAGCTTCAAGTGCTCTGATCAAAATTTGGCCACGTGCTAATGCATAAAGAAAATTGACAATCTTTTAGAGTATAGATGAACTGAACATTGTGACTGCCACTGATCTGAAACGTAGTGCTCATTATTTCTGATTTTAGCAAAAAAGGATTTTAGAAAAAACATAGTACAAAACAAGATGTCACCTTTAGTTCTTGAAGCTTCTCTGTACTTGTGGTGGTAAAGTGTCCAATATGAGCTTGGAAATACTCAAACTGTTTTAAATATTCTTGGTTTCGAGTATGAGCCATCTTTTCTGATTCACATATTTCCTTCAGGTATTTCTTTAGTTTTACATACTTCAGCTTAACTCTAGAAAAATAAAAGCAGATTTTTAAAACAACAAAGTCAGAATCTGACTAAGGAGAATTTTCTTTTTTAAGAAATTGAATTTGAAGATGTTTATTGCATTCTATTTTTGGTGGAAAAAACATAACATACATTTATTTAGCACAAACTTGTGGAATACACAAAGTGAAACTGGGGAAGAAACATTTTTCGTCTCCTAGTCCATTTCTGAGGACTAAATCATGAACTGCTTCACTGAAATGAAATATTTCTTGCAATAGTCAGCACCAAGTTTATTTATTAGTTTAGGAGAATTTTCTTTAACAAAACTGTTAGTGAGACAATGTATGCTATATTATTTTCCCCAAACACTAAAACCTAAAGGACAGAATGCATATGCATTTTTAGAAAGAGGAAATTAATGCAACATCACTGAGGTATCACATGTTGGCATCACTCTCCTGAGAAATATATATACGACCATATTATAACATTCACACAGTAAAGATTTATATGAATTTCTTCCTAAAAAATAAATGTGATTCTAAGAGTGGTGTCTACGTGGCCAAGTTCAGAGGAAAAGCCCATTAGAATTCTTTTAAATGACAATGTCAAAACTACCTGCTCTATGGAAATCAAACTATAAGCCACAATCCATAAACATTAAAAAAGTTTAAAATTTAAAATAAAGAGCTCTCATTAGATATAATTTTAAAATTTTGTTCGAAATGGCAACAACATACTATATTATTAAAGTACTAGAGGCCCGATGCATGAAATTCGTGCAAGGGGCTCAGTCCTTGCAGCCTTGGCCGCCTCTTGTAGCCCCGGCTTCATCCAGAATGTCATCCGGATGGTCGTTCTGCTGTTTGGTCTAATTAGCATATTAGCTCTTTATTATATAGGATTTTATAATAACTTATAGACTGTAACTCTACTCAAAATGTGAAAAAACCTTTAGGGACTCATCCAAAGTGTAGTATCAAAGAACTCAGGATATGCAGCCCACTCACAGAACCAACACTGCTCTCTCTGGCTCTTTCTTTTTCACAAGTACATAAATCATAAAAATACCAGTAGCATTTGTATTGTTGTTTCAATAAATTATTCAATGGTATTCTATCAAGCAAAATAAATTGAAAACCACAAAAATGTTCACCCTCAAAAGCAGATTTTCAAAGATGCTGAAGATACTAAAAATTAATCTTCAACAGATCTTAAATCTCTACACTTAAGCCAATAATTTTCAAGAATTTCTTTATTGTGCTAATAATTCTGTGCTTTGATCTTAGTTGGCTGTCCCCATTTTTCCTTATGAACAAAAACTTAAGAGTGGTTTTACTGCTACCCATGTCTACCATTTTCAACATAAATGACAAAATAATGAGGTAGTACCGTCTTTCACACGCAGGTGTTTGGTGAAGCTGCTAGTGGTGGCCAGTATCCACCTGGAATAGGTACAATAGTAACCATGCCTTCTCCATCGAAGTCTAATTTCATTCCTGCCCTTACATTAACCTTCAAAGCTGACTACATAAGTAAGTTATCCATCCATCCATGCAATCATTCATATATTCAGTGCTCTGAATATGAAAGCCACTCAGCGAGGTCAACAGGGAAAACAAAAAAATGAGATAAGTAATGAAAAAAACAATCACATTTACCATTGCACCAAAAAATTAAGATACCTAAGAATATACTTAACTAAGGAGGTAAAAGACCTGTACTCGGAAAACTACAGGACATTGAAAAAAGAGGTAGAGGAAGACATAAACAAATGGAAGAACATACCATGTTCATGGACTGGTAGAATAAACATCATTAAAATGTCCATACTACCCAAAGCAATCTACAGATTCAATGCAATCCCCATTAAAATACCAACGGCATACTTCAAAGATCTAGAACAAACTCTCCAAAAATTCATCTAGAATAAAAAAAGGCCTTGAATAGCCACAGCAATCCTGAGAAAGAAGAACAAAGTTGGAGGGATCACAATACCAGATATCAAACTATATTACCAAGCCACGGTTCTCAAAACTGCCTGGTACTGGCACAAGAACAGACATATAGATCAATGGAACAGAACAGAGAACCCAGAAATTGACCCAAGCCATTATGCTCAATTAATATTTGACAAAGGAGGCAAGAGCATACAATGGAGTCAAGACAGTCTATTCAATAAATGGTGTTGGGAAATTTGATCAGATACATGCAAAAAAATAAAACTAGATCACCAACTTACACCATAGACAAAAATAAACTCAAAATGGCTAAAGGACTTAAATGTAAGACGGGAAACCATAAAAATCCTACAAGACTCCATAGGCAGCAAAATAGCAGACATATGTTGTAGCAATATCTTAACCGACACAGCTCCTAGGACAATGGAGACTAAGGAGAAAATAAACAAATGGGACTACATCAAAATAAAAAGCTTCTGCACAGCAAGAGACACCATCAACAAAACAACAAAAAGGCCCACTGCATGGGAGAACGTATTTGCCAATGATATTTCAGATAAGGGTTTAATCTGCAAAATTTACAGAGAACTCATACAACTTAACAAAAGGAAGATAAACAATCCAATCAAAAAACGGGCTAAGGACCTAAATAGACACTTTTCGAAAGGGGACGTACAGAAGGCTGAGAGACATATGAAAACATGCTCAAAGTCACTAATCATCCGAGAGATGCAAATCAAAATAACAATGCGGTATCATCTCACATCTGTCAGAATGGCTATCATCAACAAATCAACAAATGAAAAGTGCTGGCAAGGATGTGGAGAAAAAGGAACCCTAGTACACTGCTGGTGGTGATGCAAGCTGGTGTAGCCATTATGGGAAAATATGCAGTTTTCTCAAAAAATTAAATATGGAACTTCCATTTGACCCAGTGATCCCACTTCTAGGAATATATCC